CCAAGACTGGTAGATACCTTGAGCCCAGAAGTTCAAGACTGTCCTGGGCAACATAGCTAGATTCCCATCTCTAAAAATATATGTATATATGTATACGGGCCACTTGCTTCACTACTTATTATTGGCCTTGTCTTATCCCTATTAATTATATATACAAAAAATTACACACACACACACACACACACACACACACACACACACACACACGCACACACATATATATGGTGATTAAAGAATAAATAGAAAGCCTGGACAATCTTTTTGTTTTTTTTGAGATGGAGTCTTGCTCTGTCATCCAGGCTGAAGTGCAATGGCTTGATCTCGGCCCACTGCAACCTCCACCTCCTGGGTCCAAGCAGTTCCCCTGCCTCAGCCTCCGAGTAGCTGGGACTACAGGCACATGCCACCATGCCTAGCTAATTTTTTGTATTTTAGTAGAGACGGGGTTTCACCATGTTAGCCAGGATGGTCTTGAACTCCTGACCTCATGATTCACCCGCTTCAGCCTCCCAAAGTGCTGGGATTACAGGCAGGAGACACCGAGCCCAGTCACAAGGGCACTTTGTTCAGCATCTTCTCTGTGTCCCTGTCTTCAGAAATAAGGATGTTTCACTGGGCGTCGTGGCTCACGCCTGTAATCCCAACACTTTGGGAGGCCAAGGCAGGCAGATCACAAAGGTCAGGAGATGGAGACCATCCTGGCTAACACAGTGAAACTGCATCTCTACTAAAAATACAAAAAATTAGCTGGGTGTGGTGGCACACGCCTGTATTCCCAGCTATTCGGGAGGCTAAGGCAGAAGAATCGCTTGAATCCAGGAGGCAGACGTTGCGTGAGCTGAGATCAGGCCACAGCACTCCAGTCTGGGCAACAGAGCGAGACTCCATCCCGAAAAGTAAAATAAAATAAAAATAAATAAAAACATTGATGGGGCCACGACTGGCGGCCCACACCTGTAATCCTAGCACATTGGGAGGCCAAGGCAGGTGGGTCACCTGAGGTCGGAAGTTCAAGACCAGCCTGGCTAATATGGAGAAACCCCGTCTCTACAAAAAATACAACAATTAGAGGGCTGAGGTGGGAGGATTGCTTAAGCCTGGGAGTTCAAGGCTACAGTAAACCAAGATAGCGCCAATGCATTCCAGCCTGGGTGACAGGGCAAGACCCTGTCTTGATTAATAATTAAATAAATAGGCTGGGCGAGGTGGCTCAAGCCTGTAATCCCAGCACTTTGGGAGGCCGAGCTGGGTAGATCACGAGATCAGGAGATCGAGACCATCCTGGACAACATGGTGAAACACTATCTCTACTAAAATACAAAAAATTAGCCAGGCAGGGTGGCGGGCGCCTGTATTCTCAGCTACTTGGGAGGCTGAGGCAGAATCATTTGAACCCAGGAGGTGGGGGTTGCAGTGAGCCGAGATCGCACCACTTCACTCCAGCCTGGTGACAGAGCAAGACTCCATCCCAAAAATAAACTAAAAAATAATTATACTGATGGAAAATAAGGTTGCTTTCATTTTTTGGTATCATACAAATAAAGCTGCATGAATATCTCTGAACATGTAGATTTATTCCATTCTCAACTATTATTTATTCAGAACCTACTATGTGCTGGTCACAGTTCTAGGCACAGGATACAGCAGTACAATAAATATGATTTTTACCCTGATAGGGTTCCCATCCTAGTGGGAGTAGACAGAAGAGTTAAATAGGTGAAAAATAGATGGTGATTAGTGTTGTGAAGAAAAATTGAAAATTTTGAGGACATTTAATTTATTTAAAAAAATTTTTAGGCTAGATTTAAAATATTCTCTTGCCCAGGCTGGTCTCAAACTCCTGGGTTCAAGCAATTCTCCTGCCTCAGAGTCCTGAGTAACTGGGACTAGAGGCACATGCCATCACATACGGGGTTAATTTAAAATAGGATAGCTAAGAGAAGGCCTCACTGAGAAAGTGACATTTGTGTGAAAACCTGAAGTATGGAAACGAATCACATGGTCAGCTGAGGGAAGACGATTCAGATAGGGGGAAGAAGGTGTGCACAAGTCCTAAGGCAAGATGTCATCTAAGGTTTCCAGAGGCCTCATCCTGGAATGGCAAGGAGGCGAGCATGGCTGAACCAAGAGAGAAGGGAGGAAGATGGTGGGAGACGAGGTCAGCAACGTACATGAGGTCAGATGCAGAAGGCCTCACAGGCCATTGAAAGGATTTTGGCTTTAAGCTCTAACGTAAGGTGTGGGTCGCCTTGGGAGGGTTTTTAGTAGAGTAGTAATAGGATTTGATTTGTGATTTAATAGGATCGCTCTGGTTATTGTCCTGAGGATAACCTAAAGAAAGGTAAGGGAGTAGGCTGGTGCGGTGGCTCACGCCTGTAATCCCAGCACTTCAGGAGGCCGAGGAGGGCAGATCACGAGGTCAGGAGATCCAGATAGCCTGGACTAACACGGTGAAACCCCATCTCTACTAAAAATACAAAACTTAGCCGGGCATGGTGGCGCACACCTGTAGTCCCAGCTACTCAGCCTTTGGAGGTTGAGGCAGCAATCACTTGAACCCAGGAGGTTGCAGTGAGCTGAGATCGCACCACTGCACTCCAGCCTGGGCAACAGAGCAAGACTCTTCTCAAAAAAAAAAAAA